AACAAGAATATTGCTCAGTTGCGTTGGTACTTCAGCCTGCCCACGCAAGACCTCCGTGCCACTTTGCCAAATCTCATTGCCCTTCTCCACTTCCAGCCTGCCTCCAAGATGTGAGTCAGTCATGACTAGATCGATTTTTAAATCCATAAACATCTTAACAAACTTACAACTGAAATTTACTTTCCAGGTTGGAGACTCACCATCGCACACTATCAGGCTCTTCTCTTGACTTGCAAAGCTCTTCGCAAAATTTAAGTCCAGTTGGGAGTCATCAAATAGGAGTGTTCAGGAGACAGCCACTAGGAGGCATTCGGCGCTTTGAGAAGGGTCACAGAGTCAGTAAGTCAATGGGTAACTCTGAGCTGGGATTTCAGATGAAAGATTCTGATCCAGAGGTGCAGTCTGCTAAGGACATTACAGTGACTGCTGCTGGCAGTAGTGGGGTGATGACAAATCTCAGTTACTCTCTGGACAAAGGTCTAGATGCATATGAGGAAATCATAAAGGCAGAGAACACATTATGGCCTGTAGAATCCACCATCACGAAGCAGCAGAGAGCCACAGGAAACTTGGCTCATGTTGGGTCAGAACCCATACTCACTCCTAAACTGCATGACAAACTGATCATGCACAGGGACCATGACACTACCAGTTCTGGTGATGAAGCTCAAAAACACTTCTTGCAGAACTGGCAAGCATATGGTCCTGCTCCAATCTGTTCAGATGAAGACACTGATCCTTTCCATAACTCTACAGCACTGTCAAACCATAGTTCCTCAAACTTACCAGTGGAGACAGTCAAACCCAGAGTAGACAACAGTGTGCAACAAAATGGTCTTAGCAAGACTGTTGTGCATACAAGACCAGAACATGCAGAAAATGAAAACAGCTTCGGTTGGAACCATGCATTAGAAGAAAATGGTACTCCATTACCTGAAGTGCATATTGCTGACAGTCCAGAAGATACTACTTGTCCAAATTTTAAGAATATTTACTGGAGGTCAGATGTAACTCCAACTGTTGATAAAAACAACATGGAGAATGGTGGCAAGGTGACACTAGAGGACAGCTGGTGTGTGCAAGAGTTGGCAACATTCCATTCATTACAGCATGAGGCCCTTGTTGGAAGACAAAATATAAATGAATTACATACTCCTACAATACATGATGTAACCCCAGATAATTCAAGGCCAACTGCCAGTTTAAAAAATGGCAAGGAGGTGGAAGATGGTATGTTTCCAGATGCTTTTGAGAAGGATGTCTTAGGTCCTACTGTATTGAGGGAGGGTTCTTATGAAGTCATGGGGATGAAACAGCTGTCATATAAGGATAACAGTGATCTGGAGCAGCTTGTTGGCTTGAGTGATATGCTTGAGAGTTCAATAGTGGACAGTGTCTTGACAAGACGGACAGAGGCTTTGGCCAGTAGAACAGCTAGCTTCAACCTGGTAAGGGCACGACATGGCAGCTCTCTCGAGGATGGCTCATCATGATGCAGAGCCTGTTACTGTTTCAAGTGGACCAATTGTAGACATATTTTGTAAACTCACTGTACATGCTTCTAGGATCCAGGACACAATAAATAAGTTCAGATTTGACTCTAGTAAAGCTTCATATTATCCTATGCTGGCTGGGACACCATCTTGAATGCTGTGATTTTGCTTCTATAATTATAGCAGATTGTTTTACCTGATCCACCACCCATAATTATTTCTGTGAGAAACCTCACACTGAAGAAAAGCACTGTTATGCTTTTTGTGTAGATGCACTCATATAATTGAATAAAAATTTTCTTGGATCCCTATCTCCGGAGATAGGGATTAGCTCTATCTAGTGGGCCCAACTGTGTAGGAACCTCAAGACGGACATAGAGTCCCATCTCCGAAACGTTGTTTTACGTTTTATATTTACTAGACGATGGATAATATCCAAGAAAATTTTTATTCAATTGACTCTTCACCATCGTCAAGAAGTTTTAGATTTGATACACTCATATAATCTTCCATTAAACCTGTTTGTTCCAGTTAAACTGAAAATCCGATAAATTTCATTGTTGTTAACAGCTTTCAAGTCATAATTCTGTCACAGTCTAATAGTGTGGGATTTTATACAATCACATTTTACTTGCATACTTTAAAATTATGATAAATGGTGTTTTGATATTTATATAGCTACTGTGAGAATTATTGTTCAATGTTAGTAGTAGAGTTCTAGAATGAGTGTTGCCATACTTTTCTGGTCTATTGGTCACAGATTGTTCTTCTACAAGTTACACATAACTGATTCTAAAATTTATGGAAGCCTAGAATATGATATTGCTACGTTAATAGTTGTTTTCAGCACATTGGTCTTATGTCATTCTGCCCCTAGTTTGCATAGAACTGTTCAATCAGAAGACAGAACATTAAACTCCCAAAGCATCAATCACTACGGTGTACAGGAAACCTATTCATACTGAACGCAGTCTACACTTCAAACCCAAACTACAGGTGGTTCCAGGAATTACTAGTCAATGGACTTCTTGATCCAGAACTTTAGACAAGGTATGGTTCACTTCAAGTGGTTATGTAAACAGCCAAAATATAACAGATACTGCAGCACAGAAAATCCTCACAGAGTTCAATTGCAATTTAAAAAATAAGATTTGTGACAATTCTGATGACATCAGTCTACTTCATTTGTCAGTGAAAATTTGTCCCCTCTTTGAAGAAACCTTTCACAAGAAGTGGGTAATATAGTGAAACACAAATGTTTCTTTAAACAATGAATGAGTCCTGGATACAATATCTATCACTCAACTGTATTAGTGCTGATTTCCTGCAGAACACCATATCATCTACGAAATCATCCCTTTTAAGGAGGGGTTTAATACAATGAACTGTACAACTATTTTGGGCCTTCAAAGTCTTAAAACAACTCTTTATTTAAATTTACAAAATTTCAAGCATGGTGTCAATTTCATTTGCCAATTCCTTTGAAGAATATTATAGTATATACTTTAGCATGAATCAGCAAGATTGATTTTTAAACAGAAAAAGATTTTATTTGTTTAGCTTTCTTAATAAGTTCATAAAAAACCTTGAAAAATATGGATAGCATGCTCACTGATACACCATTTTCTACAACTTAATATGAATTCCAAGAGCCCCTGGTGAAGTTAATGACATAAGCACAGCCTTGTTGCCCCATACCTGTTGTAATGTGCAGGTAGAGTTCCAGTGGGATGGGACATCTTTCAGTTTCAATGTCATTTGCACCCAGCAATTATATAATTAGGCAAGTGCATGAGAACCCCTTTTGAATTATTTCCTTCACTAGTTGTTAAGCAAAGTTTTAACATTCTTTATAATGTTTACTGAAAGTACAATAGTTTAATAAAGGCCAGGTATAATAAAATTGCTAATTGTTTCCCAAATCAGAGTTTCATATCAGGGAGTAAGCTGATTAATTTCCTAAATTATTTTTTTCTTCCACTATATTAATGGGGTTACATTTCTTAATCATTTCAACTAGTTCGTCTATTTGCCTAACTTTAATCACGCGAGTCTTACTTTCAACATATTTATGCACTGAACTCTGCCTTCATGGTTGCACTACTTTTACCAGTGAGAGCAAATTGCTATTTTTATCTGAGATATATGGCACTGAAATGTAAGTAGCTGAAGGTGAAGTTAATGAGATTACCCTGAATGTGTCATCTTCTGTGAGTTATGGTCAGCAAAGAGTTGTTCGCAATACAGCGTGAAAACAATTTAGTTATAGGCAGGAATCAATTCATTTTCAAAGCCTGTTCAGATTTCCTGTGGATCCACCCAAAATACTAAATGGTTTCTGGCAATAATTACCCAAGGCTTTATTTGGAACATCTGATATTCACATCAAGTGATATATCACTCCTCTTGCTAAATAAACCCATCTGAAAAAATGTATATAAAACTTCTTATTTTAAATCCATTACAAAGCTAAAAAAATTCTTTGGAAGCAAGTCTAAAACTGTAACATTTCTTTTAAGTGTGACTTAAAAGTTTTTACTAAATTCTTTTATGTAAAGAATTCTACATAAAAAGAAATTTCTCAACTTGCCTTGAAAAATAAAATGACTAATTATGTTTTAAAGGAAACAAATAAAATAATGAGCATCATGGGAAGAACATCTGTTAGTCTTTTTAGAGAGGGTCATAATGGTGATCCAATCAAAACTAATGATCATCACATAGTGCCCACCTCTAAGAGGACAGCATGGCTTTCAACCCAAAGCCAAAGATTTACAGATCTGCCATACTCAGGTTTTAACAGAAAATGACTGGGAGAAAAATGCAATTCATCAGCCTGTATCAGAACCAATACAAGTTATGAAAACACAGGACTCAGCAAACCGCCCAGTGGGCAATTGGGTCAGGTAGAAAAAGAACAAAACACTGTCAACCTTCAATTCATATCACTGACCTGAAAACCCAGTTTTTTGGACCCATTTGTTCATGAACAACACAACTCTATTAGGCATGGAGGGAAGGATGATATTAAAACGGATCTTAGAGAAACAGGGTGTGGTATGGACTGGATACAGAAAGCATAAATATCATGTTTTCTAAATACAGTAACAACCTTTCACATTCAATAAAAGAAGGGAATTTCTTGACCCACTAAGTTACACTTAACTTTTCTTCTGACTTAAACTAAAAGTAGGCATCATATAATCCAGAAGTCATCAAAATAAAAACACTGCCTTCAATCAGTGATATCTTCTATAATTTAGCACCAACACACAGTAACTTTGTACAAAAACCATTTATACCAGTATCAACATAAAAAACTCAATCCTAAACATAAAAGATATATTTGTAGACTGAGCTACTAAGATAACTGGTATAACAAGATAAAATCAATTACTTATAAAGACTCATTTGTGCTTGTATGTATACACACACACAAAACTGCACATGTGGTATCTTCTTGCAAATGCTCTTCTCTTTCCTAACATGTCAGAATTAATTTTATTTTCAATCTCTCCATCTTATGTTATTTCTTAGTTGATGAAACCTCCAGCAGGTTCAGGTGCACTTACCATAATGCCTTGCCACATCACGACATACTGCAACACATTAACAATATGTCAGACAATGATCTGTAGCTTTCATGTTGACAAAATATAATAAATTCTCAGGTCACCAGCTGTGTCCAGTGGTTGAAAGGTGAAAAAACGTTTCAACCACCTGACATGGCTGGTAACCCAAGAACTTATTATAAACACACAATCCTCAAACAAACACAGGATGCATGACAAATATCATCTGACCTTTCAATGAGGGATGCCCGCATAGTGGTTGCTATGGCAGATGGTTGTGCTTCATTCAACTTGAAGATGCTCTCTATCACAGACAACTCTGTTGATGTTGTATCCATGCCACAGAAGGAGCACCAGTCATTCACTACCATGCCTGCAGCAATCACCTCAGAGCCTCGGTTAACTGTGCCTGCCTGAAATCAGCAACAAATTTATTCCTTTGTAACAGAACAAACTACAGCTGTTTCCTGTGAAAATGTTTCATGGTTCTCAATAAGGGTTGTATCTTTGAAACTGATGTTTTGAAAACCAGTCAAACATAAATAGCATTCACCTTCATACATACAAGACCTATAAATGTATGTATCTCAATACGGCTTCTTCTTCTTTATTACGCCGTCTCCTTTACAGGAGGTTGGCGACATTATGAACAGGATCCTTCTATCCTTTTCTCAGAATGGGACCTGTTCATATATGTTTTTTAGGCAGGTGATACAGAAGTGGTTTACCATTGCCTTCTTCTGTGTGTATGGAGTAATTGTTGGGATGCCACAGAGAAACCCCTGAAGAAAACTCTTGTGTTGCCTAGACCACAGCCTTGCCCATAAATTCGGGCACCGCCGGGAATCGAACCCGGGACCCCAGGATTACAAGGCCAGCATTCTAACTGCTAGACCACTGTGGTGGCTACAACATGGCTATAAGGTTTAAAAAAATTAACATAGAAACATATTTATCCTTTGTCAAGGTTTGTTGGGATAACTGGTCTTCCATCATACTAAATGGCCAATCCTATTTTGTCACAATTCTTCAAAAAAGGTTAATCCATACCGCTGTCCTGTATCTAACTTTGACAAGAAACAGACTTCACATGGGCACATTGCTTCAAGTTTTGTATTACAACCTCTGTCTCAGAACTTCCATTTCACTACCACAATTTGGACTAAACGTTTTAACATAAACAACACAGAGCAATGTACAGAAAATTAACTCCCATTCACTAGCCAAGAGATGCAATGGACAATGAAACAAGCAAATGTTTCCAAATGCCTTTGCTGTTATTTGTGAAAGTGAAGCATCAGTCAGTGGCATTGTCAGAACCTGGTGCATTAACATTAGTCAGCTCAGGCTTAGCCACTGGCATGAGCAGATCATTTAAACATATCTATTATCAGAAAACAAATTTAGTTCCATGACATAGCAACACCACAATGTGGAACACTCTCCGTCAGTAGAGTTGCCATGCAGATTGCAGGAGAAAACAGAAATTTCTCTATTACACAGTTTCTGGTAAGTTCACATCATATTGGTATCATCAACTGGAAATGTAAATCGTCCGAGACAAAGACTGAAGGTGGGCAGAACCAAAATTTATATTCCAGCAGAGGACATTTCTCATTGGCTAAAAAAACTAGGAGTAAGATACAGTTACTGCCTGCATCAATTTTCTTGGTATCTATACTCCACAGCAGTGATTTTTGTTCAGCTTCTTACAGCCTACAATGGAACAGCAAAGCGAGAGTTCACCAATCAAAAAACATTCTGTGAAACGAGATACACCCCACCTTTACATGTATGTACAAGGCACAAATGTTATACTGCACGGCATTACCAAGTAGTGCATGAACCGAAGTTGTCATACTAACCTCCCTTCCTCCAAGCCCCCTTCTTTATAACTACAAGCTAAATTATGCGAGTAGCGCAATCTGGATGACAGACTTTCATATAATAAGATAGGTACACACATGAGTTAGCAGCACATATATGGACCACAGAATGGAAACAAAACTATAAGTACAAATTATACAAGAGAACAAAAGTAGTCGTTAGTTGGGAATTACTTGTCATGATAGAGGTGCAAAAAAGTGACATTTACCACACATGCAACATTAAGAAATTGACTGTGCCAATTATTTTGCTAGCTGTAATGAAATTCAGCTACCAAGCAATATGGTTCCAACAAAAATAAATCTGATCTGCATTTTCAAAGTGTTCCGATGTAATCTGCATCAGGGCACAGAATATCTTGACAAGGATTTTGATAGAAACAACTTCTGCCTCCTCACTCAAATTCACCAAATACCATCCACATCAACTAAACAACATCTACAGCAGATACAGCATCATTAAATAACCTAGACCATGAAGTAAGCCTTTTCCACACTTACAACAAGCGGAACTTGAAGCAATGAGGACAACTCATCCTGGTCCTGAACAGATGTGTGTGGGTGCACCAACCCTCCCTGGTTTGAGAGGATGCAGTAGGAACCAACCAGAACATTTGATGCAACTGTCTGACGGAACACTTCAACCTTGAGAACATCAGCCAGAATCTCCTCTGTTTCCTGCACAGATGTACAAACAGTCATACATAAATGGAAGCAACTGATATGGTGAAGGCTTTGGATGCACCCACCACAGCATTCCGCACTGTCAGTTTTAATAGGAAGGTCTTCGGTATGGTCTCATACCCTGCACAATGAGTACAATTTGTATTTAAATACAATTTGCTCAGTAAAATACCTGACCCTAAGAGGGATGATGTATATAGGTAATTTAGGACATAACGAGAGAGATCCTAATTTATACAAGTCACCCAGTACCAGTGAAATCTAGTATCGTAGATAACTGGACATATAGTTTGGAAGTGCAAAAACAAGAAATTTATACAGATTAAAAAACCTAAGTCAAAAGATAATATTAAAACAGATAGTACTGAAATAATTTGCAAGAATGGGAGCTGGATCAAACTGGTACAATGGCAGGTTTGGTGTAGGCTGTGTTAAAAATCTCCAGGTCTTATATTACCAGACTGCCAGTTAATAGCAAAATGACTAAAAGAAATTCAGTTTTAGTCCAAAATGATTAAAATACATTTCCTCCTGCAAGTACAGAAGCCAATTTACCATTTTAATTATTAACCAGTAGCACACACTTGTTAACATGATATTAAACCTTTGGGTTTCATTAATGGACTTTGTCGCATGCAGTGAGTGAGTTCAATTATTAACCAACATAAATGTAATATAGACTTATTAAGTCATGAAGACTTGACTCCAGGTCAAATACATGTCAACAACTATTACTGAACTGGTCTCGACAATGCATCATCTCGAGAAAGGAACACATTACCCTGTCCAAGTCAGGATGCACAAGAGCAACATAGTCATTGCATGCCACCACATTGCCCAGTGCTGACAACCGTTCCTCGACACGCTGCACACAAACTGTGTCTGGAAGAGAGTTCCTCAAGTGCTGCAGCTCTGTGTCTGTGGTAGAGTTGGGAACTAGAAGTCCATTCTTGTTTCCTGCATATATAAGTCAAGTGTAAATTTTAAAAATTTCATGTTTTCTTTCTGAACTAGGTTCTAGATATGTATATATAAAGAGAAAAGACAAGGATGTACAATGTGATACAACAAGTAATGTCAAAACAGAAAGAGAACACCAAGGTAAAAGAGTCAGTCTTTCAAAACAGTCTTAAGTTGATGTAGCCTAAAAGATATAAACAACAAATAACAGAACAAATTATGCAGTCAGGTACTCAGAGGCTAATATTTATTCTAGCACTGTCAGGTAGTTAAATTGCAAAGGACATACAGTTCAGACTTAGTGATGAAACTCTCATGAACAAAAATATTAGACTTTGGTCATAAATCTCTCACAAAGTGAATGACTACTACAGACACATGTTAAAATTAAAATGAAGATTAAGAAATGCATTTTGATAATATGGACCAAAGTGATCATAATTTGGTTTAATGATGGAATTTGGTATTAGCAGTGTTTTAATACTGGGGACTTGCACTACAAACAATTACTTCTCACAGCTTTATGTCACACATGCAATTCCAATTGTTTCCATGTAAGTTAATTTAAAATGTGCCAACACACTTACCAACACACATTCGTCCAATTATACGACAACCAGCAACTGAAGCATGTATCACTGGGACTGTGTCAGCAAGTTCTGCTTCAAATACACTGCAGGAGAAATTAAATCAGCTTAAATGGAAAAATAAATATAACAAAGCTATGGCTTGAAAGCTTTCATAATCAACAAAAGTTTATTTTCTTCAGACACCTTCCATATCTGGATAAAAAACCTGACTTACTACATTTTGGACATTGCCCGTCTTCTGTTCTCATACTCTTTATACATTCTTTTGACAAATCATAATCTGGGGTTAATTTCAAGCTGCTTTCACCCACTCAAGTTTGCATATCTTTCTTGTACGCTATGCAACAAAAATCAACCACTTAAGATTTTTAAGTCAGAAACCAGAAGAGATGTAAGTGTAGAAGTGGCATCAAAATGCCAATCATTTGTACTTGTCCATACGTAGCTTTTCTCTAACTTCCATTAATTACAGTTATGTATGCCAGACATATATTAGGTACCAATATAAATATGTGTACCTAATTTGAAGAAAGAAATTAATTTCTGGGACGTGGGACTAGGTCCCATAATAAAAAGAAGGTGAAGACTACACTTTAGTTGGATATTTATGTTTAGTTGCTAGGGTAGAAGACTAGCACTGATACGAAGATCACAGTTGCAAGTTCAAGTCATCGTCAGCATGTTTTTAGTACATCAGCCATATTTGCACAAATTGGTAGACTTCCACCAGGCTACACAACATTATAACTACAAGACAGCCATCTATGAAACAATTACTTTAGCATCTCTAAGGTTCCTTTTACAGAGTATACAATGAAAAACAGAACATCTAGAAACCATTCTAAATGTCAACTACTTCACCCAAGTGTCTCAGCAATATTAATGGATGAAAAACCACTTCATTCCATTAGATGGCTGTCCTTTCAAATATAGCTCTGTGCTGTCTCGTAAGTATCGAATGACATTTCATAAAAGTTCCTCTGAAATATCAGTAAACTTCTACTAGACTACACAGTGTAACAAACTGAAGACAGCCATGCCCAGTTTCTTCTCTATTTTTCCTTACAAATTCACTCTCTCTTTTGTGCCTTGTAGGTAACAAATATATAATCCTCATTCTACACTAGAGTATATTGTAGCTCCTCCAC